TTTTTTAACTTTTAATAAAATAATTTTATAATCAGTTTTTTAATAATTTTTTTTAGAAAGTGACATTTTATGCAAATAAATTCAGTAAAAGGTGCATATCAACCCCTAAACTCAACAACTGGTGGCAAATCACCTCCTCAACTCACTTCATGCCCAAATCAACCCCTCAACTCACCTGCAGTGGCAAATCAGCCCCTCTCTTAACCCTTCCGTTAACATTTAACAGTCCGCTCATCAGCCCTTCCTCTGTGTCTGACGTGACCTTCTTTTTGCTGAGATGGATGCTGAGGTGGAGGCACAGCTGGACAAATACCTCAAAATCAGCAGATTACGCAAATTATTTTTATTGCTGAGATGGATGCTGAGGTGTAGACATTGCATATTATTTTTAAAACACTACAATAGCCAATTGAACTAAGGATTTTTCTACAATTATATATTATTTTAATTGATTAATTATTAAAATTAAAGTTAAATTTTTTTATGTAATTTAATTATAAAAACATGTACTAATTATTATTTTGATGAACCCTTAGAAAATACAGTTGAGAAAAACTTAATCTAAATCAAACCCAAAATAATTGCAATTGAGTAATCATTTGTTTATGGACAAAATTTAATCAATTTATAGACAAAAACAAGAAAATGGGGAAATGGGATGGTCAGCTCTGCCAAGAAATCATCTTTGCCTTGCATACTGTCTCTCGAGAATTTCTTCACAACAATTTCCAGATTCTCCTTCTCCAGCACCCCTTTATAGACTACCCCGTATCCTCCTTGACCCAGCTTCTGCTTTTGCTCAAAGTTGTTCATTGCCATCTTCAAATCCCGAAAGTGGAACTCCCTAGGTGTTCCCGGTAGGCTCTTCAGTGTGCCCAATATACTGAAATTATTGGCAAAAGCAATTCTACAAAATTAAGAAGATACAGAAATTATTCAGAATTAAAGCAAGAGGCAGTAATTTTGTTCATCAACCAACCTTAATAAATATGAAAAAGTATACAACAGTATCGACAAATCAACAACCCAAAATAAGCTTTAAAACTCCAACAAAAGAAAACAGAAATCATAAATATAATATACACAAGAAAAAACAAACAGCAGATCTGAGGCTTGAGTCATCAAAAATTAAATGTGATAAAATACTCTACATATCATTCGGTGTTAAAAAAATTGCTTCTTTTCTGTGCATCAAATTGATTTAAAAGCTCTAGTTCCCATCCTCATTTCCCCCAATAAACAAGTAATTAACCGTGGCAAAACCAACATCAAGATCCACCAGAAAATTACTAGATCCAATACAAAAATATAATGCCAATTAAAATCACAGAAAGAACAGATCTTCTCCAGAAATGCAACCCAAAAGACCCCTTGAAACCAACAGATATGAGCCATTTTTGTCTTCTTAACAAAGATCTAGATCGAATTGAGCAACAAATGCAACTAAATCAAATGCAAATTAGCCATCAGAAAACAATAATTTCTTCCATATGCAAACTTATCAAACGAAACTAAACAATACAGAGACCAAAAATAGCGTCCGGGATCAATCAAGAAGCCATGCTCGATGATAAAGAGTTCAATTTTTGAAAGGACGAAGAGGGGAAGAAGATGATAGAAGCTGGAAAATGAAATAAAACCCTAAATATCCTCAAAATATGGTAATTTCACAGAAGATTTAGAGTTTGACAAAG